GGTGCATGTAGGGGTGTGTGGGTGGGTGGCCGCATTCCCTTTTTTTTTCCCGCCCCAAAACGACAACCAACTGAAAAAGAAAGGCTGTCGCCCGGAAACGAAACGACAAACGCGCCGCCTGAAACGACGGCCAAACGAAAAAGAAAGACCTGCCTAAATGACGGGCGAGCGGGAAAAGCGAAACGAAAAAGAAAAAAAAAAACGGGAAAAACAAAACGACAGCGAAAATGAAAAAGAAAAAAAAAATTGAAAACCGAAAATGAAACGACAAACGCGCCGTCCGAAACGACGGCCAAACGAAAAAGAAAGACCGGCCGAAACGAAGGCGGGGCGGGAAAAAAAAAACAAAAAAAAAAAAAAAAAAAAAAAAACGAAAATGAAAACAAAAAAGAAAAACATTTCAAAGTCACTTATCAGACGGCGACCGCTTCAAGATATTCCCTCACATCTACATCCGCACCCGCCCGGCCCCGTAGGCGCGCCCTCTCGTTTCATGGCGCGCTGTGAACATTTCGGTACGCGCGGCCCTTTGCACACTCCCCCGCCCTGGATCGCATTCATCCGCCGGCCCTCGTCAAGACTTCAACCCCGAATCCGGCACGCAGCGGACCACCGACCTCCCCCTGCGCCAATGCTCCTTAAGGGATAGGATATATGAAATGGTATTCACCAGTTCGCAGTAGCTTATGCAGATCCCAGGGCTCAATCCCTAGTTCCCCACCTTACCTGTGTACAGTATCGGCGTCAACCCGTAGATTTGAACCTGCTACCTGTAGTACCGCCAGTGGTAGGTAGTTTTCCGTAGGTCACAGGGTAGAAGGTATTCGAACTGTAGACCTGTAGGGTAGGAGTCTAGACAGTTAGAGGTYGTAGCTGTAGACTGCCTGAAGGGTCAAGGTCGTAGCTGCTACTTACCTGAAAGGGCAAGGTCGTAGCTGCTACAGTACCKAAAGGCCAAGTTAGAGGTTTCTAGAAGTGGCCTTTCGGAGTGAGTCTGCGTTCAGCAGAGGCAAGTGGTCAAGTGGTGGTAGTCCACCTAGTACAGTCAGCAGTCCCAGTCCACCCAGTCCGGTCCAGTCCAGCAAGTACCGTCTGGGACTGTGTGCACGATGTGCCAGGGGTACAGGGCAGACCAACGCAGCACAGAAGTATAAATCAAGAGGCTGCGCCCAGCCATTCATTCATTCCTGCGGAAGCCATGCGGAAGCGCTGCCTCAGCACCTTGTGCGAGGAGGTCTGCAGAGGGCCCGAAGACGAAGTGGGCGAGAGTGACATACCATAGCCATAGTAGTAGGGTAGCGGCGGCCATAGCCACCATAGCTGTAGCTTAGGGGAAGTGTGTGTGTACTGTGTGTGTGTGCTGAGTATCGCGTGTGGGATATCCAGGGTGATCCAGAGTGTGAACAGTGAGTTGTTTGAGGCGCACAGTCGCCATAGCCAGTGGAAGCGAACTGTTACTTGGGAGCCATATCTCTGAGTCCTGTGTGGGCGCATGGCGCCAGTTCGTTGTTTTGCTGTTCACGTGCATGAAAAGTGTGAATAAGTCTAGTCTGATTGCATATATATGTTTTAAGAATAATAAATTTATAATTCAAGTTTCCATTTGCAAACTCTTAATCCACAGATTTCTCTCACCTGAAGAGAGGAGATTCCTCCCCATGCTCGCATGAAATCTCCTTCGTCGAAGAGCTTCATTTGGGGCGGTGCGGGGGAATGATCTGAGCTGAGAGAGTCAATTGTGCCATCCTGAACAACATCACAAGATTCACAAGCACATCGCAAACACAGGGCATAACAATTTTAATTATTTTATTCTTTAACTTAGAAGACAGAATGCACATAGTGTGGAGTTTACATCTCGAGAAGGGACAAAATGTGTGATCGAAAGCTGAGAAGTCGCCCAGTCTAAAGGACGATCATCGCCCGACTTGGCCCCTGTATTGCCATCCTTCGTCGCCCACTCAGGCACGAGGTGCTAAAGATGAATGATGAAACCACTAGTACCTTTCCCCGCTCGAAAAACAAATGCCTGCTGGTTAACACGGGGGTGGGAAGCTTCGGGACTACCAGCGCGAAATGGCTGGTGGTGCCAGCCAAAATCGAATCTGCACCGGTTCGTTTTTTTTTGGTGTGCAGGTCGATTTTAGGCTCGGCACCGATAGCTGAGAAAGGTACTGGTGGTTTCAACTGAAAAGCACAATGCACCCACCGCAAACAAAGAACCACGGCAATACCGTGGTTAGTCGGTGGATTGTATGTAGAAAAGAAAGCAATTCAATGAACACGAAAACAGATATCAACAAACAGTACCTTTTACTCTGGATCCATCTGTGACACCACGGAGAATCGAACCCACAACCTCAGCCTTAAACAACCAGTACCTCCCCCTTCCCCCCCCCCCCCGAAGCTCCAGAATCGAATACGCGACATTCCGGGTTCCTTGGGGGTTTGGGCAGGGACGACCTGGCGGACCTCTTTGCATGGCAGCGCCAGCCACAACAAAAAAAAATTTGTATCGCGCCGGTTCACTTCGTTTTTGGCACACAGCAAAAATCCGCCTCGTGCGGCTGTGTGAGGATCTGGGTGGGTGTGATTGCGTGTCTGTGCGTGCGTGTGTGTGTGTGTGTGTGTGTGTGTGTGTGTGTGTGTGTGTGTGTGTGTGAGAGAGAGAGAGAGAGAGAGAGAGAGAGAGAGAGAGAGAGAGAGA